GAGCCTGTATTGGAGCACCAAATCCTGACTTTAAGCTGAGAGGTGGGTGAGTCTGCACTTCGAACTGTGTCACCTTTAGACATATTGCAAGCTTAGTTTTCCTTGCAGGAACTTTTAGAAAACACCAACAGTCTTGCTTTTAGCTGCACTCTGAGTGTGTGTGTGTGTTTTTGTTTGTTTGTTTGCTTGCTTTTTTAAAAATTATTATTATTTTATACTGGGAGGAAAAATTCTTTGTGGCAAATACTGCTGTGAAATTAAATTTATGGCAGAGCACATGGAGCCAAAGTTTGATGTGCTTATTTATCTTTTAGAAATCAAATAAATAAATGTGCACCTGCAAATCAAGTAGAATATGAAAGCATGCAAAACACCGATTAAATGCTTGAATACGTTTTTTTCTTCCATTTGAAAGCTGTGGAGCACTTGTTAGTTTTGATTAATTACATATGAATAAATCTAGATATGTTTAAGTGTTTGCTAAACCAGAGGATGGTTTGAGTGCCATATAAGTCTTTAATGTAAGTTCTGTAATAACTTTACATTATCATGTGAAAACATGCTGCCCAGTGTTTAGTCTATTTAGATCCTTTTTTCTCCTCCCTCTTTCTTTTTAGTCTTTTAATCCACCTGGAAACAAGTAGTAGATTTAGATCCTGAGAGATTGCTGGTTATCTACCATAATCTAGGAATTGTTGCTGTAATAAGAGTGTTGATACCTCCTTTGGAAACATCTATATTGATTTCTGCCAGCTAAATAAAATATTTTTCTGATCTACTACAACAGTAGTTTCTGTAAGGGGCCTAAGGACACAAACCCAATTTTTAGATCTAGTCTCAAATGTCCCTAGTGTTCAGAAGCTTGGTTTACTATCAGAGTTTACACAGTAACCCTATCTTCATGGTTTATATGTATTAAATATTATAAATAATACAGGTAAAGGATGTTGGTTGTGATGGTGGTGCATGTAATGGAGCATTTTGCCTTTCTCTTCTTGCTCGTTAACTAAAACAGGACTTAGTTTAGCCGTAGCTTGTGCTGCACTTTCCTACTCTGGGGATTTATCCCTTCTTGTCTAAAGCTTCTTAGCCTGCTCATAAACCATTGCTTGGAATATTTATGACACAGTTTTTGGTAAAAATTTATGGGAACCCTCTCAAGAAAGATTGAAATTGACTGATCCACTCAACATTGCTGACTTCCCATTTAATGCTGTATTGTGAATTTTTCAAAGAAAATACTCTTCTATAGAGTGCCAGAACTTGTGGCACTGGGTTATTTTAGATTTAAAAATAGGGTGGGGAGAACATTATACAAAGTTTTATGCAAGTAGTCATTTTAAGGACACTGCACGAGAATTGCATCTCATCAGTTTATGCTTGTGTGCATAGGTAGAAGAAAACATATCTTAATTGATGTTCAGGAAATCCAATCCATTGCCCTTCTCCATTTGCAAAAGAAAAGCTGAAATCTTTCTCAGTGGAATAGAGTTTTGTGGAGGGTAAAGTAGGAAAGATACTTATGTCTTCATAGATGCAACTAACTTAGTTTTAGGTTAGAAACTTCTACTGCCTTCTGAAAATGTTTATTAGATGGAAAGTTTTGGAGGAGACTTACAAATACTTGGTATTACAAATATTTGGTCAGTACCAGCCAGCCTTTGGGCAGAAAACTGCAATTTATTGCACTAACTTGTGCAAGGGGAGACTGTTTCAAGCACAGTTCTTCCCTCATGGCATGGTTGTCTCCTGCCAGTTTCATTTTTAGTATGACTGAACCCTTCATTTTAGCAGATGTAATTCAAGGTTAGGTTTGTGCTGAAACCCATGGCCACAAATAGTAAGCACATGCAGACAAGTAAGAATTAACAGTTACAGCTAAGAGGGAATGACTGCTTGTAACAGTGGGCTGCTTAAATTACAAGTCTGGGCATATATTTAATATTGATGACTGGGATGTTACCCTGCAAATTAGGACATGAATCAATCTGCCCATCCTTTCTGAATGGTGAATGGGAGTGACACAGCTAATCCCTTTGTGTGCCTATATTTAGAGCCTCAAGGTGATGGCGGTGCTTTTCTTTGGGTTCTTTCATGGGAAAACTATCCATTTTATATCCTGGAGGTAAAATTAGTGGCATTCACAAATTTCACAGTCATCCTCTGTCTGTATTATTTGCTTCTAAACCAGAATGTGCTGTGGTCCCTGAGGATCAGTGCAAAATTGTTTTTTTTAGTAGCAGCAGATTTTGGTGCCAGAAATGTGCGTGTCGCAAATGAAAAAATTCCCATGACTCCAAGGAGTGTAGGAAGGGCAGCAGTTCATCACAGCCCATGCTGCGGGAGCCCTGGCTTTGATGGGGCCTGGAGCACAGGACGCTCCCGCCTCATGCTGGAGCCATCATCTCTCAGGAGGTTCTGACTGGAAACCTGAAACGTCTTTAAGGGAAAAGTGACAGCCACGTTTCAAAAGGATTTTAGAAACATTTTAGCTGCCCAGAGGCAGCTGCCTACCAGATTTTAAAGAATATATTGGTATTTAAGTCTGTTAGATGTAGCCATCTAATACTCTTTTTCTTAGCTCCTTTTTTCTGGTAACTTTTGAGGGCCTCGAGAAAATAGTGTTGCACTTTCTGCCTTCCCCCTCCTCTCCCAAGTGCCACGTAGAAAGGAAAAAAAATAAAACAGGAAAAAGCTTTGAGAAATGACATTTACAGTATTCACATTCAAGCCTTGCAGAGAGCTTCGCATGGAAAGCATCCACATACTTTCAGTAGTTTTTCAGTTAAGTTTTAATGTGGCGTTATGCTATAATTGGGAAAAAGACAGACATCCCTGAATTCTGTATTTAGAGACAGAGCTTAAATATAAATAGAAGTTAAGGGAGCTTGTGAGATTTTGCTTAACAAGTAGTAGTTCCCCAGTGGAATAGGGATATTGTTGTCTGCTCCTTCCTGCTCCCGGAATAAAGGTGCAGAGGACACTGCCAGGTTGTTTCTCCATCCGGGCTTTGTCTGCTCCCTCCCCATCATCCCTAACAATAAAATGTGTCTTCCCAATATAGCTGCTGAATGGATTGCGTGGATGGAGCTGAATGTTTTTGCTCACTCATGTGTGCACGTGTTGGCATGGCAGGCAGAACGGGCGCAAAATGCATTTGTTTGTATTGGGATCGGGGGGCAGAAGTGTAAGGTGAAGGAGTCATCACTTTTGAGCAGTCACTTCTCTGGCTTTGCCCGCATGTTAAGGGTTTTCCACTGTGGTCTGCAACCATGGCTGATATTCACGTTTACCTGCTTTTTCAGAAGGAAAATATGACCAGCCAGCTATTTTTTTTTGTGTTGTTGCAAAGATCACAAACTTCAAAGACAGGACTTTACAGTGTGGGGTTTTTTTCTCAACTATGGTGTTGGTTCTGAAAATAAAATTGCGACTTGGCTGTTCAGCTTTGGCAACTGAAAAGTTGTGTTTTGCAGCCAAGTGTTAGAACGTGGAGATGACGTCATTTCTGTGCAGGGTAAAGTATGTTTCAATTATTTTATGTGGGTAAGGGTTTAGGGAACAAAAATGGTGAAGATGAAAGGGAATGCGTATGCCCTCTCTGAAATTTTTGTGGAGATTCAAACCAAGCAGCGTGTTCTGCAAGGTGGGCTTAGGTCTTTTGTGCCTCTGTACAGTGTTTAGAGGCTGCAAAGGTGCACATGTAGTTTGCCCTAAAAAGTAGGGTTTAACCACTCTCTTTCTGTAAGCTATTTTGCAGGATGTAATTAATGCTTCTACAGAAAGAATGGTTTCTCTTCATTTCTCACTGGGAATTAAGAGGTTAGCCTTTTTCTGAGAAATTTCACTTAGTCTCCTTGATTGCTGTGGTTCATTTTTGTCAGAATTAAAGTGTGAAGTAGTTACAAGTATTGGGATTCTGTGTCTCAGTTTTGGCTTGTCTCCCCCTTCTTGCAGCCAGAGGAGGGTTAATCCGCAAGGAAGTGGCTGAGAAGAAAAGGGCCTGGAGGGAGGAGAAGGCAGCAGTAACTTCCCTGCTCCTTTCCCGTTAGCTTCTACAAGTGCAGCCATGCAAGCACCAAAACACCACACGGTGAATGAGCTCTCAAAATTGCTGGAATAAAACTTGATAATGGGATATTGAGGTGTCTGTGTAAGTTAAATTCTGGCTGTGATTAATTATGAAGGAATGCTGCTACAACCGTGTTATCTTGGTTGCCTTGCTGTTCAGTGAAAGGAAAGTATCGGGAGTAAATAAAACTCTCTCCTGTTCCTGTACTCTCTGGAGCATTTAAAATGTGTATCATTTATTTCCTCTGGTGTATGCGGGTGGTGTGAGAACGCCAATCATACAGACAGTCTTTGCATTTAGTCCTGACTCTGTGGAGGTCCCTGATTCTCAGCTCTGTAAGAGCCAGATCCAAAGTACTTGGATCCCTAGAGTTCCCCATTACACATTTGTAAGTTTTCTAAGGCA